TACATATTTTACAGCTTTCGGGAACTGCAGTAGGGTGAAAAGTCTCGTCTAGATTCCGAGCTAGCAGATTTTCGCCAAATCAGATTTCATCTCGGGGGTATCTCACGAATTGCGTTCTCCACTCCATGGGGTCTTAGCCAGTGCAGAAGCCCTTCGGGATACATCGACTGGAGATGAGCAAGACGATATGATTCGTTCTATAACGATATGTGGTGAGGTTTTGCTAGATACCATGGATCACATGTAAGAAGAGGATTAATACATGAAGTAGAATATATCTGACTCAAGTACAGCCTAGATTATGCGAAAATTGCAAATAAAGGGGAAACCAAGGACATGAAAGATCTTCCTGTGCAATCCAACGGCCCAAATACGAATTTTGACCTTAGCAACCTCATTGAGACTGTCGTTGAGGGGGTTTCCGCCGCACAAAGCTTTCGACAATTAACCTTCGAGGGTCCACTTTCTATTGATACTAATGGCCTAGATATGAATTTCAATGAGAATGGTCTGTCAGATAGTGTTGTGATCATTTTGGAAATCGATTGGCAAACCTCATGGGCATTCAATTCTCAAATAAGTAGCTGGAGAAGGATTTTCATTAACCTTTTCCAAAATGCATTGAAGTACACTGAGTTTGGATACGTCCATGTTCGCTTAACAGCGCACCAGTCTATTGATGGCCCAGTGGTGAAATTATCTATCATAGATTCTGGGAAAGGAATATCGAATGATTATTTGAAATACGAACTATGGACTCCTTTTGTACAAGAAGATCCTATGAGTATTGGTACAGGACTAGGTCTCAGTATTGTTGGTAAATTAGTCCAGGAACTCGACGGGACAATTGATATATTAAGCACAGTTGGTACGGGTACAGCCGTTCAAGTGGAAATTCCTGTTGAGCATTCAATACCATCTGATGAAGACGAAGAGACTGAAAGTAATAAATTGATTCGGGAGACAAGAGAACGCTGTCGCGGCCTTTCGATGTGTCTTCTGGGGCTTGACAACTATCCCGACCCTTGCGAGATTCCCACAGATGCTCCGTCTGCAAAGGAAAGGAGGATGACTGCGATCAAATCTGCATTGATAAACTATGCTGGTGATTGGTTTGGAATGGTTATACGGAAAGCTTGCTCTGGCTTTTGTACTGATGGTGTTATTTTTGTTTGTTTGAAATCACAACTTCAATACGCGGACCGCACCAGACACAAGCCTTTGATTGTGTTCGAGGATAATATGGGAATATCAAATAAAGAAGAGGGTGTTTTCTATTTGACACAACCGTAAGTGGAATATCAGCCCTGGCAAGATGATTTCAATTTAAAAGTCTAGTGGCCAGACATAGATCCCTCTCTATCATGCCATGAATGTTACTTGAAGAATGATGTCTAATCCCTTCATAGTGCCGGCCCTTTCAAACTAGCAAGAATATTAGGGCAATGCATCGACTATCTACACTCTGTAGGCTTTTTACCAAACATCATTGAGCGATCCAGCATGTCATCCAGAGTACCATCCAGCACAGGCTCACCTCTATTGCTCACGCCACCTGCGAATGGATATCCGGATTCTAAGAATATTGAAGCATGCCGAAAAAGTGTTAATGATGAGGGAAGACCAAGCTTAGATTCACGTCAGAACTCAAGCGAATCTACCGAGTCGGCGAGACCTAAATTCGATTCACGTAAACATTCGAGTGAATCTACAGACTCGGCGGTGGATATGAGAACAAGTGAAGAGTCTATCGTGACTTATCATTCGTTTCCTTTTCCGGCAGCATTGCCACCACGATTGAGGAACGAAAGCGAGGTGCATAGGCTGGATAATTTAGAGAAGTCGAATGGAGAGCCCGTGGTACTCGACAAGACTGGTTTTTCTAAAACAACCGCAAATTCAGATAGGGTTACGGATTTAGAGAAGTCATTGTCTGTTCTTCAGAAGCCCATAGTATCTGACGAGAATATTCTACTGGAAGCCTCCCCAGCTTTGGAGAAGCTTGCCGTTGTTGAGAAGCCTATAGCCATTGAAAAAGCTACAATCGTTGAGAAGGCTCCAATCACCCAAGATGCTACAATTTGCGAAAAGCCTATTGTGCCCGAGAAACCTGCAGTCCTGCAAATCGTTGAATCAGAACCTTCAATCACACCCACCACGAAGAAGTCTGCGCGTACAGTGATTCTTCTTGTCGAGGACAACGTAATCAACTTAAAAGTAAGTCTGATCCTATCTAGTATATAGAAATATTCTAATGACCTGCCAGGTGCTTGTCCATAGCATGAAGAAATTAAAGGAGGAATATGACACCGCATCAAATGGTCTGCAGGCATTTGAAAAATATAAAAAAGCACCGGAGATTTTCAAAATCATAATTATGGGTGAGTCTTTCCCTCATCCTCTCCTCCAATAATATAATTCATCCACCTCAGATCCTATTCTCTCATAAAACATATGACTAACTTCCAACCCTAACATACAGACATCTCTATGCCCATAATGGACGGTCTAACCTCGACACGTCATATCCGCGAATACGAAAGCACGCATGGATTAAGTAGAGTGAGAATCGTAGCATTAACATGTTTTGGAACGGAAGAACATAGGAGGGATGCGGCGATGAGTGGTGTGGATTTGTTCTTGACTAAACCGATTCATTTGAAATCTTTGAAGCCGGTTGTGGATTTGGATCCAGAGGGTGTGAAGGGTGGGGTGATGGGGGAGAGTATTTAGCTTGGGAGGTTGGAGGGGAGAGGTGATGGTTATGGATTGGATAGAGGGAGGGGGGAAGGAGGAGGATGGGTGTGGAATGAGGGTTGCGGGAGGAATGAGAGAGGAATGAGAATGAACATGGTGTGCGGAGTTTTGTAATTTTTACTTTCAATCTTACTCATATAATAATCAGGTTCAATTAATTTGTTTTTGCGTACAAAGGTATGCTATATGAAAGATTGATTTAACGTTCTAACTTTGTATTGGGATCTCGATGTGGCGAGAGACCTCCGGCGAGCATAGATTAATAGTTATCCAAGTTTTAATGGATATATATATACTCGTCTAAGTCGATCGGTTCCGGATGTCATTGCTGACTGGGTTTATGAGTATACTTAGCGTAATTAGCAGCAAGAATTTGATACCTACTAGGTAGTTTTAATGCAATTCCTCTCTGCGAGCAGACTGGAATGTCGAGAGCTCACCGGGAGTTCCGGGCGCGAACGGATACTGCTTCCGGAGCGGTATTCATAAAGTTTCCTGATATTCATACAATAATCCTTGTCTTGTATTATATCATACAAAAACAGATATATCGTGTGTATCGGATCAAAAAAAAAAATATTAAGAACATCGATTTTCATGTGAATGTTGCCTAAATCACGAGTTGGTTTCACGGTGAAAGTCGCCTGCCGCGCAACAAGAACATTAACCATGAATCAGAAAGAGATAACCGCGTCATACCACCATATCAAAGCCGCAATCAGGACAGTACAAAGTTGAGAAATAATGCTTTAAATACAATCACCACCATTTGATACTTTATGATATTTGAGATCATCCAAAACATATCTGTGGTCCAGACTGCAGCGATACTTTATAAAATCCCATTATCGTGGCAATGACGTCGTCTTCTGGTCCCGCAAGACCCGTATCACCATCGAATAGCTTCTATGCTTTGAGCGACGACGAGGAGGGTGAATATAATACAGTCACACATCTAGAATCAGGTAGAGGAGTCAAATTATTGTTCTCCAAGAGCAAGGCAACTATTCCCAACAACTTAATGTTTCGACCAAGTGCGGGGTCGTTCAAGCTGGTTGCTGACGACCACAACTATAGGTTTATATCCATCCTACACCATCTGCAAAAGATAATATACCAGGATACATAGCTTTATTACAACAAAAGCCACCTCCAGATTCCCGTCCTACTTCGTCTTCTTCTAAAGATGCAAAATCGAGAACGGCCGCTTCCTTACTTCTCGCATGGCTTCCCGAATCATCTCTCGGGGATGCCCTGAATACATATGTGAAAGTAGATCTTTCAGAAGGTGATTCTCCACCAAGACAATCATATCTCGTACCGCCTCCTCCGACCACCACTACCCATTCCGGCTCCATCGGACATTATGCCTTTGCGATACCCGTCTCGCAGATCTACAGTCTTCTCGTACGTCCACCGAGTTTAGGATGGTGGTTCGGAAGTGTGGTTATAAATTCTCGAGCGGGAGATTCTTTTCCTGCGCTATTTTTTCACGATTCGGAATGCCAGTCTACTATTTTACAGAAGAAGAAGAGGACGCGGGAATCGTTTGATCCATTTGGGGCAAATGGGGAGATGTTTTGGGGTGGCGATGAAGTATTGAGATGGCTGAGACGATATGTGGAAATTGAGAGAAGTGGTGCTGAACCGAATATTTACTTGGTGGAACCGTCGGCTGAAGATAAAGAAGCGTTTGGAGACAAACCAGTTACATCTGCGCCGGTGAGGAGCCCGACGAGCAGTGGCGCTCGAGTTGGTGGTGCTGCTGGTGCAAGCTCGAGTACATATAGAAGTGCGCAGAGAGATGCGGGGATGGATCCAGTTACAAAGTTTGTCAAGGAAGCGGGGTGGAATCTCATGGAGAAGTTTAGCAAGGTTACAACATTTACGAGGAGGACGGCCGATTCGATTGTCGAAAACCCGAAAATCCCTCCACAGGTTAGGAGATTCATGAAGAATCCGGAAGTTCAAACCATACAAGAGGAGTTTGATAGTGCGAGGATATACTTGGCGCGATGGGCTATGGGTATTGCAGAACAGAGTGAGAGGGATAGAAATCAAAGGATATGGACGGCCAGGGATGTTTTAGAGATGGAGGAAACAGATGTCGGCGATTTTGAGTTGTTGGAAACTGAGATGGGTTCTTTAACTATGAAAGAACAGAGAAAAACAGTCACATTGAGGGAATGGAACAAGTTTTTTGATCAGAGGTCCGGCAGATTATCAGTCACAGTCGATGAGGTCAAAGAAAGGATATTTCACGGCGGACTAGATCCAGATGATGGAGTTAGAAAGGAGGCTTGGTTATTCTTACTTGGCGTTTACGAGTGGGATTCTTCAGCAGACGAAAGAAAAGCCGTGATAGCAGCCTTACGGGATGAATATGTCAAATTAAAGGGTGCGTGGTGGGATCGTTTGATTGATCTTGGAGGGGAAGGGGAAGAAGGAGAATGGTGGCGAGAACAAAAGAATCGAATAGGTAATAAATTCCAGTATTCTGTTATCTTCAAGATATCAATAGGCTGACATATCCCATTTCTTGGGGTTCGTGCGATAGAGAAAGACGTTCACAGGACGGATCGTAATATTCCAATATATGCAGGAGAAGATACACCACATCCAGATCCAAACTCACCATTTGCTGATGTGGGTACAAATGTTCACCTGGAACAGATGAAAGATATGCTTCTCACTTATAACGAATATAATCGTGATCTCGGATATGTACAAGGCATGTCAGATCTTCTCGCTCCAATATATGCCGTCATGCAAGACGATGCTATCGCTTTCTGGGGCTTCCAACACTTCATGGAACGCATGGAACGTAACTTTCTTCGCGATCAATCTGGCATGCGTTCTCAACTTCTTACACTCGATCACCTTGTTCAACTTATGGATCCTAAACTTTATCTTCATCTTCGAAGTGCAGATAGTACCAATTTCTTTTTCTTCTTCCGCATGTTACTCGTTTGGTATAAACGTGAATTTGCATGGTTAGATGTTTTACATCTTTGGGAGGTTTTATGGACGGATTATTTGAGCTCAGGGTTTCATCTATTTATTGCTTTGGCAATTTTAGAGAAACATAGGGATGTTATTATGACGCATTTGCAACATTTTGATGAAGTATTAAAATATGGTATGCTTTCTTCATATTTTCTATATGGATTTTGGAGATGAGAGTAACTAATAAACCATAGTCAATGAACTATCAAATCAAATAGATTTGGAATCTACGCTTGTTCGCGCCGAGGCATTATTTCGTCGCTTTCAAAGAACAGTCGAGGCCATTGATAGGAAGTCGAGTTTTCCAAAACCATCAATTAGACACCGTGGTACACAAAGTACATCTCAAGTCTCGGAGCCCTCTAATTCTTCCGGTGCAACTAGTGGTGCGGATACAGGAAGTGGACAAATTGAAGGTGCGAGGAGAGATAAGGGAAAGAAACCGAATGGAGAATTGGAGGTGTCGGAAAAACCAAAGGTTATTAGTAAGGAATTGAGGGATTTGTTAAGTAGGAAGGTGGTGGTTTTACCGAGGAAGTTGGTTAGGAGGGAAGGGGAGGGGTTGGCGAAGGTACAGAAATAATGGTTAGGTTTATGGTTATGGTTATGTGGGTGGGATTTGGTATGAAAATATGGATTTATGGGATTATTGAAATATGGGATTATGGGAGTATGGGATAGGTGTTTGGGTCATTAGGAAGAAAGAAGTACGTATATGGATTCATTTGGTTTGTGACTTTTTGGTAGGAGGATGGAGGATTGGGGATTGAGGGTTGAGAATGGGAGGTACATATATTAACATTAGGCGGTATTATTTATAACTTATGTTATATTTTCTATCATAGTTGATCGATTGATTGATTGATTGATTGACCCATATGAATAAATAAAGAGGATATTGTGTAGGTGTAGTATTAAAAACTAACATCGATACATACATATCCTTTTCAACATCCTTCTTGTTTTCATTTTTATCAATATCTCTTTCGTTTGTTTGTTTACTTCGCTATATCCTGTGCGTTTGGATTGGGGGTTGAGATTGAGGGTTATGGTTATTGTTATTGTTATTTTCGGGCGTGTGGTATGAGGTAGGCTGGCTAATGATATTCATGTTTATATTCAGACTCGTACTCGTATCCTTTTGTTGAGATTCTGTGGGGAGTGGGGGAGAGGGGTTAGTGGATTTCTTTTTTGAGGGTTTTTGGGTTTTTTGCGAAGAGGAAAAGGAAAAGTTAAATCACATACAGGAAATTGAATAGATAGCCTAGTGTACTTAATTTTTGCTCTTTCTGTTTCTGCTCTTCCTTATCCCTTTCTTTTTCCTGTGTGGTATCGATGATTTCTAAGGTTTTTGGTTCTTGTTTTTCTTTTTCTTGTTCTTGTCCTTCTCATTCTCGGTCAGAAGTGACTTCTTGTTGAGGAGTAACTTCTTCCTTTGATATTGACTGTTCGGAAGCGATAGGAGGGGGGTGGTGTAGTTGAGATGGAGATCGAGATGGAGATGAGGAGGAAGATGATAATGGGGAAGAAGAATGTGAATGTGAAGAGATGTCCGGTGGGATTAATACCCATTCATTGAGATCTTCGTCGGGATGTTGATGAGAATTTGAGGGGAGGTGAGTGGTTGAGTGAGAGGTGATTCCGGTGTGGGAGTTTGGGGAGGAGAAGTTCTGGATAAATGGGATGGGGATAGGGTTGGGTATTGGTGGACGGGTTTTTGTGAGGGAAGGTGAGGGTGAGGTGGGGGGAGGACGAGGAGGAGAGGGGAAAAGAGAAAGACATGGGGAAGGAGAAGTAGAGGGCTTAGAGGATTTGGAGGATTGAGAGAGTCGATAATGAGAAATTGGGTGGAATAATTTAGGTTGAGGAGTTGATGAATTCGACTTCGATGATGAAGAGGAATTTAGAGATGAAGAGTTTGATCGAGGAGCATTAAAATCCGATTGTAGAGAATCGAAAAAAAGTGCTTGAGTAAATGGTGGGATTTCTTCTTCTTTATCATCATCATCATCGTCATGTTTTTCCCTATTTTCCTCCTCCTCGTATCTTTCCCTTCCATCTCCCTCCCATTCCGACTTCTTCGTCCCACTCTCAGTATCACACCCCTCGAGCTCACATTCCGACTTCTTCGTCCCACTCTCAGTATCACACCCCTCGAGCTCACATTCCCGCTTTTCATACGAGCTCCTCGTACTCAGGAAAGTTGGATATCGATGGGTTTGGCTAGATGATTCGAAGGGTATAACAGGTGGTGGACGAGTAGGTGGAGGTGGATAGGGAGGAAATGTATCGGAGCTTGGTTGAGATGGGGGTTTGAGAGAGGTGATTGAGGAGGAGAGAGAGGGTGAAGAGGAGGGGCAGGGTGCAGGGATGAATATCCAGGTTTGTGGGCGTGGACGGTTGATTATTTGGGTGGGGTTTGGGGTGGTGGATGATGTTGATTTGGATGTTGAGGTGGATGTAGATGGGAGTTTGGTAGGCATTTTTGAAAGAGAAATAGGTTGTTTGAGGGTGGAGTAGTGACTGAATGAATAGATGTGATGAGTTTGACGGTCTGCTGGTTTGCTAGTTCGACTGCTGACTTTATGTTATTGAGATATTGTGTACCTCTCTTTGAGTTATCGAGCTCGACGGATTGAATCTGGTATCTATTCTCGATGCTCGATTTCAGATTTCAGATTTCCAATTCCCGATTTTCATTTCCAGCTTCCAAATAAATTAATCTTCAAAATATCCAACAATATCCAAACCAAAGATTAATTCTCAAATTGATTGAACCACAAAATTCATTTCAGGCTTCACATTTCCCTTTTTTCTTCATTCATTCCTCGTATCTATCATAAACCTCTCCGCGAAAACCGTACGAAAACGTCCTTTGAGTATATATTCTTCTCTTTCCTCTTTTCTCCTTGCTCTGTTGGTATCGAGCTAATTTTCTTTGTCTAGTCCTGATTTGTGGATTTGGTATGGTATGAGATTTGGGTCTCTTTGTTTGTTTGTGGATGATGGTTGTGGTAGTGAGAGTGGATTGGTTTTGTGATTGAGGGGAAAGAGGTTAAGTTAGGGGGAATTATGAAGCTTTTTGAGGAAAAGCTTAAGGTTCTTTGTCTGGGATTTGGATGGGATTTGGATGGGATTTGGTCTGGATTGATTTGATGGTTGCAGTGATGCAATACTCGAGTATTTGATATGAGGGGACAACATCAAAATGAGTATTAATCAAGGTTACCTACTCTATGGTGTAAAATATGAATTCGAAATCTAAAAAAAAAAAGAGAAAAAAAAATAGGTATAGAAATATAAGAAAAAACTCAAATATAAAATATAAGTATAAATATTCACCTTACACTTCCTCCCCTAAATCTTGATAACCTAAATTCAACAGAGAAAATCGTATGATACCTAGTATATTAGAGTCATCAGGATCGGATCATACGAGGTAGATTGTCTAGTATTCACTGTAGCGGAATAAGGATATTGTGATGGTGTTATTGGCATGTGGAATTTATTTTGGTTGTGGTGAATATAAGGTCTTACTTTTTATACGAGTATACTCGAGTTTAATTTTTATTTTGAAGGGTTTTGCGTTTGTATTTTCTTTTTTTAGGGGAGGTAAATGATGAGGATTAAGTAGAGTAAGCACTTGTATGAATTCTATATTCGAATATGGGATTCATACTTTGATGGGAGATTTACCATGGAATGAATATTCATTCTCTAGTTTGTTAAATTCCAGTTGTCCCTTCCAGAGATACTATCTACACAGACTACCTTGCTTCTTCACTGAATACCCAGATATTCGAGGACATCAGGGTTATTACGAGTCACTCCTCACTGTACAAGAAGAACATATGTAAGTAAGTAAAATGTTTAAAAATGAATTAAACATTTAAAAGTCAGGCGATGTACGGAGTAAACTCAACGGACTAGAACACTTGAATGTTCAACTCTATCATAACCAAAGAAATCAGATATTCCTCCCTAACTCAATCTCCGAAATTTGGATATCAAGCCCGTAACTCAAAAACCCCAACTCCGAGATCTCAAACTCCATGCTTTGTCCGTGTACCGAATAATACATATTCAGTATTCCAAGCATCAAGCATAGAACCATCCATTCATAACCGTCATTATTTTGTCTCCTTAACGCCAGATTGATCCCCAGCCTGGTGTCCAATTCCCCTAGATTTACAATCCAACATAGCACCCATCAGAAGCGCTTCAAGCACCGTCTTCATATTTTCCGTGGTGCTCGCGGGAGATTTAAACGGATTCTCCTCATCCTTGAGTGATTTGGCTTTGTCAAGTTCATCCTGCGTAGCCGATTCCCAGTTTCGCTTTGGCATAATTCCCACGACTCGATGAAGTTCGTTATGGACCGATTGTGTTTCGTACTTGGGAGCTTCGAGGACTTCTAATGCATCCAAGATAGGCTCAGGCAACGTGCCTACTGCAGCTAAAGCGTCATAGACGATGACTTTGCAGTATTCCAAGATTTCTGCACCTTTAGGAAGTTTTTCTGGATCTAATTCACGGTCCTTGGTGTCGAAATAGTGGGTTCTTCGTGATAAGAACCATTGCTGATCTCGACCTGGCATGAAGGGAGCAGGTTTGCCTCCCACCATCTTACAAGATCCTTCATAGAACTTTGTGTTTTGAGGTCCTTCAATTTCCTGCAGAGCAATTCCCAAAGCTTGTCCGGTTTCCGCCATATCTTTAAATATGGACGACCTTAGATATGAATCATAGGCTGCGGTTTTAGTATAGACGACTGAAGGGACTTTTTGTTCGTCTAGGAATGAGTGAAAATGTTGCGCAGCTTGCCAGTTAAAACCATTGTTGGCGGCTATCACCTCAGCCTTTAGTTGAACCCCTTTTGGACCACGATCAGGGCAATTTTCGAGCTTGTAAGCGCCTTGGAGGACTACCTTAGCTGTAATTTGCTCAAGGGGATGTGGCTTTGGTGAAGGTTTTGGCTGTGATGAAGGTTTTGGCTGTGATGAAGGTTTTGGCTGTGATGAAGGTTTTGGCTGTGATGAAGGTTTTGGCTGTGATGAAGGTTTTGGCTGTGATGAAGGTTTTGGCCGTAAGAATTCTTCAAACTCATCGATATCTTGTAGAGAAGATATAAGACAGAATGTAAGCTTATAGCGTCCCTTCTCAGCTTTAGCCTTAAGCTCATTCAAGAATTCCAATCCTTTGCGTTGACTAGGATAAGGCTCCTGCCCCATAACATTGCGAGGAAACTCATAAAGCTGGGGCTGTGCATTCATCTCAGTGCCTATGGTCCCTTCACCAACAGGTATATCCGGAAGTCCTAGAAGATCCAGAGCTCTCCGTCCGAGGTGTGCTCTTTTACGCGCCGGAAGTAGGTTAGCTACAAAACCTTCTAGCTTGATAGCACCCAAACGATGAAGTTCCTTCAAAACTATCATGGCAGCAAGATCATCATAGTCCTTGCCAAGATCTGTGATGGCAACGACGTGTGGAAAGACATAGTTCTGTTTGCGTAGGGCAGTGACAGTATCTATAATCTTTTGATAGACAGCGGTTTCTGCTTCTCGAAGTCCATCTGGAATGAGCTTAGGACTCGTGGGGCTTGACATATTTTGTTTGTGGGAACGAGTTTTAAGTTTTGCTGTAATATGTTTAAAATGGCGCATGGTAGTGTAAGTGTTGTCGGTGTATGACGTAGAAGGTTGTATGTTTGAAGACAATGGGAGAGGGGGGGGAGTTCGAGATACTAAACAACTCTCAAACACTTCACAACACTAGTAGTCATTGTATAATAAGAGACAATTTGGCGATTCCCTGATGACTCCAACGACTCGTATAATTAGGTACAAAATAAAGCCTCACGATCTGCGCACAGTGAATGCTCGGAATGAAACATTTTATAGTCGCAAGTGCTGGTGTACGGAGTAGATATTGTAAGATGTCCAGGGATTATGATCATATAGAGTGCCGGGCAGTGCAAATATGGCCGTTCCCAGAGCTTCAGATGAGAGTTTCGGCGCCTATTGGGCTGATATTACAGCTCGCTTTCAGTAGAATGTCCCATATTCCAACTCCAACTGTTACTGTTGGTGTACTCAGTGCAAGGTTTTATATCACATATCCACATCAGAAGACTTTGCCATAACAGACAACATGTTTACTTTGCGACGAATAAGGCTGAGGCTGGTCTTGTATCTATTTGATAAGTCATCATGTCCAATCATATGACGGGAACCGTTGAGGTCACACACGTAGAACCACCAGTGGGTGCACGGATTCACGGTAAATAAACCACAAAATCACACCAAAAATCAACATCTTCAAAACTGGACTAAAATTTGAATATTTGAAGAAAACATTTCAAATTTTAAAAATGAAATGAAAAGCATGAAAATATCTTATATCTGAAAAATCATATTATTATTATCAAAATTGAAGGTTTTAAAAGCTAATTTATCTTTCCCCACCAAATATTTTGGTGAGAAAAGGTAAGATTGTATTTTTCACCTTCAAAATTATTTGCTTTTTAAACAATTTTTTTTTATATTATAGTTTGATGCTTGATCATTTTTATTTTCAACTTTCAATCAAAAATATTGAGAATTTAAATTTTAATTCGATTTTCAAATAGCTAATTTTTGGTGTGATTTGTGCTATATTCGCAGGCTGGACCGTGAGTCCGTGCACCCACTGGTGAACTACGCTACGAAGCGAGAGAGAGGCTTAGATAACCTCCAGCCTACTGAAAGATGTCGGTACAGTAGTCGTACTCCACCGCAAACTGCAAAAGAGTCCCAAACAAGCCATTCACCATGGATCTCTTATCTACTATACGCAAATCTGGTTCTCGTGGAGGGGTGAACTTCAGTTGGGAGGAGGTTCAAAGTTCTCAGGTAAGATCTTAAGCAGTCACTCAGCAATTCAATTGACGTCATTTCATTAACATAGCATTTACACAGCATCGAGAAAACTATCTGGGCCACTCCCTCATGGCCCCCGTCGGTCGTTGGCAAAAAGGAAGAGATTTAAATTGGTATGCAAAAGGAGACGACGATACGACTGGTGGCGAAACCGCAGAGGAGAAACAGGCACGGGAAAGGAAGGAAGAGATTCGAAAAATAAAAGAGGCCGAGGAAGATGCGATAGCAAGAGCTTTAGGATTACCGGTTGCGCAACGAGGCGAAGCTACAGGAGTGAATAATGTGGAAGTTGGGGAATTAAAAAGAGTTATTAAGGAATCTGAAGAAGGAAATGATGATGTTGAAGGGATGGGAAAGGGTACCGGATTCGGCGATTTTGTGGGCAATACCGATGGACAAGAGATGCCGCAGGTAAAGGCCGAGCCTTTAGAACAGAGGAGTGGACTACTGAGGAATAATCGCGATGATGAAGGATTGAGAGAAGCTGGAGGGAATAGGGAAGGGAGATCAAAAGATAAAGATAGGCGAAGACACAGAAGCCGAAGTAGGGACCATGAAAGGGAACGCAGACACAGAAAGTATCGACATCGATCAAGAAGTGGAGACCGGGAACATCATAGGCGCCGACGTGATGAGAGCCCTCGAAGAAGGGAAAGAAATCGAAGTCCAGAAGTGCGACACCGCAGACATCGCAGTAGAAGTCTGGATCGAAGACATCGGTCAAGGAGGGATGATGGAGATTTTAGAAGCAATAACCAACGAGATCGATTACCTCGAAGAAGTCGCTCACCTGAGATACGCGGTCGAGAAGAAAGAGTGCCGGGGAGGAGGCGTTAATTCATTGCATTGCTTGTACATTGGGGGTTTATTGGAATGGCGTTGCGTGTATAAAAGTATACCCATGGCTGCATTAGCCTTTGAAGTGCACACCATCTATGAGGGAATGAATGATATAAAATCGTTTCGAATATTTCACAGTACTTCTGATGGATATGAATAGCTGAGGGTACCGAATTTTTACCCTATCTATATTGTCGGGAGTTAGATTTCATTCTTGAATTGTACTTGAGCAGGTACTCGTGCTGCCAGAAAGTATAAGATCGGTATTAAGTACCTAGAAGAAAGATTGAACTTAAAAATAAACCATTTTGGACAATAAAACAAATTACTCCTTAACATTCGGAGTTTAATACTTCTGACAAGAGCATCAATCATATCATTTATCAGGTTGATCGGGTTTACCAGTTACGGCCGATGATTACATATGCAGCTTTAGTATCTCCCTGCAGGTACCTTTGTAGAAATTCAAATATTACTGGAGTTATCATATTCATTCTTTTTTTAACAATTTAGACTTTTTTGCTTGCTCAGCGTTATTTTCGGTCACATCATTTCCTTACGACCATTTGAGACGGCATTTGATCCACTAGATCTAAACCTTTCGCGTTCTAGAATTTGCTAGAGTAGCTACAGTAACATAGTGTGTCTCAGCCTTCTGTCTAGCCTTCCCTAAGCTCGCTCCTGATCAACCACCGACTTTCGATTACTCTTCATACTCCGCGTCATAGGCACTACCGGTACTCCTAATCATAGACAATATACTCATATATAAAGTCATCTGTTCCTCCAAACCCAAGCATGGTCTACGAAATACAATCAGGTTACTTGTTTGTCTGACATACCTTGAGACATCCAGAGCCTCGTCAGATCTTCCCAGCAGAGGCAAATCGACATACCGCGAAACGACACAGAGGTTACTGTGACCATGGACTTTACGAAACTACGAGCAGCTGCGCTGAATAATGGGGATGATGAGGAGGCTGTTACGGTTAATACGAGAGCTTTGATAGATAAAGTCCTAGCTAGATACTCTGGAGAATGGACGACCTTACGAGAATTAATTCAAAATGCTGCGGACGCGCAGGCGACAACCGTTACCATCAAATTCGAGACCTTACCCTCGATACAGGTCCCGACACCGAATACCACAAATCAGTCAGAAGTATTGAAACATGTTCTGCTAAACCATACACTGAAGAGGTTGTTAGTCACCAACAATGGGCAAGCATTTGGAGTCAATGATTGGTCGAGGTTGAAGAGAATAGCTGAGGGGAATCCTGATGAAACGAAGATTGGAGCGTTCGGTGTAGGCTTCTATAGTGTTTTTGCCGATTGCGAGGATCCTTTTGTCAGTTCAGGAGATCAGGCTATGGCTTTTTACTGGAAGGGGAACTCCTTATTTACCAAGAAGATACAATTGCCTCCTAGTGAAGCGAATCCAAATACCAGCTTCGTCCTTGACTACCGAAACAATACGACGCCAATGCCTAATCTTCTCTCTATAGCACAATTTTTGGCGACAAGTTTGACGTTTGTGGCTTTACAGAGTATTGAATTATATGTTGATGATTACAAGATTATTTCATTGAAGAAGAAATCAGCTCCAAGCTATAATGTACCTATCGCAAGGGACGTTGAAACAAGATCGAAAGAAGGACTCATGAAAGTCCAAAGCCTTGAGAGAGAAAGCGTGCAGATGGATGCAACTTTCATGAGTGTTGTAGGCTGGAAACCTGCCAAGCCATCCACGTCAAAGCCCTCTTATGACAATAGTTATGGGAGTTCTGATATACCTTCTCTCCGTACATTCTTCTCCAGATTTTCTTCAAATAATAGCCAGGCTCTACAAAAAGCAAAAGCCTTGCAAGAGGAAAAGGCCATGCAAGAAGTGCTACTGGAAGATTTAACAGCTTTGACAACTACTAATGTCTTTCTACGTGTGACTACGGCAATGATCAAGACTTACGTTCAGCCAAGTTTTGCTGCCGAGTTGGAACGAGCAACCAAGAAACCACCTCCCAAGACAACCAAATTAGCTATCCTCACATCTTCATATGATGAAACGGAAGCATCTGCAAATGATAGTCTAGTTTCGAAGAACTTCGATGTCTTTGCATCTGTTCTTCCGGGAAAGAAACCTGGTGGGCGAGTATTTATTGGTTTCCCAACTCATCAAACCACCGGAGCGGGTATGCATTTGTCGGCGCCATCAGTTATTCCGACGGTAGAGCGAGAATCTATTGATTTAAATGCACGGTATGTACGAACATGGAATCTTGAGATGCTCAGAGTTGCCGGAATCATGGCAAGGTTAGCATTTTCCAATGAAATGTCCGATCTTGCCGACAGGGTTAAACGTGCTACGCAATCCAATGGAAATGGAAATAAAGTTACGAAGCGTGAGATTGAACAGTTTATGCCTGAAGCTGCACATATTCTAAAAACGTTTACGTTCGGGGATTCTACTCCAAGTTCTCAAGTTGCACAGATCATCGAAGAAGCATTCTGGACAGCGTATAAGCAGGCATCCATTGAAGTATATAGCACTAGGAGTGTTCTCCCCACGACAAAGGTCCGGTTAGCTACGGAAGATTTGAGTGGCTTTGTTGAGGGAATCCCCGTAGTTCCAGATGCACTCGTCAAGTCTGAGTTCGTGCAAAAGTTGAAGGACTTTGAGCTTATCACCGAGATTACGATTGGTGATGTTAAGCAGGAGCTTGAAGCAAAGGCACTTACTAATGAGCAACTGATACAGTTTCTTAAATGGGCAGGTCGTAAGGCTGTGCTTGGTGAGATTGATGCCCAGACTGTTCTCTCTTTATTCGACGTTGCAGTAGCTACACTTGGGGATGATAGTAACCAGGGTGGAATCATCGCGCTGGGCAGCATCACCAATTATTTGAATGTTGCCAGGATACCTCCCGAGGCACCAGTTCCTCCAACGACAATTCCTTTCGAATTTACTCGAGAATGTCAACCAAACGAGCTCCAGGCCCTCGGATGGGAGCCTCTTGAGATTGTGCCGTGGTTACGTTATTTGATAGAAACAAAAGATAGAAATGGGCTTGAGCAAAACATAACTACGACTCCACAATTCGCGGCTAAGGTTCTTCATATTATTTCAAAGTCATGGGAAGGTATGAGTGCCAACTCGAAAGCGAGTGTCATATCATTACTTTCGCCATTGACCGTCATTCCAACTAAGTGCGGTATGAGGAAACCTGGTGAAGCTTTCTTCGAAAGTGTAAAGCTTTTTGAGGATCTACCTACTCTCACAAACTGTCCAGGTGTCAAAGAAAAGTTTCTTGCAGCTATTGGAGTACGAAAGACAGTAGATTTGGAGACGATTTTCAGTCGACTTCTTGCACCTAACACACAAGCTAAAGAAGGCGAGGTCTCCAAGAGCAGTCGTCACATGGACCTGATCAAGTATCTAGCATCGGTAAAGGATGATATTCCACTAGAAGATCTCAAGAGATTGAGAGAATCACAAATATGCCCCGCTGAGGCAGGACCGCCAGGCCAAGAATCATCACAAGGCACTGCCCGGATGTACAAAGTTCGTGAACTGTTCGAGCCTAAAGATGATCTCAGAAACTTGAAACTACCAATAATTCAATGGCCAGGAGCACATTTCAATTCTAGATCAAATGAAGGCCGTTTCTTGGCCATGCTGGGGTTGAGATCCTTCCCTGCCGTCCCTGAACTTATTGATTTGATGTCATCAACTGATTCTATTCTCCGAGACAAGGCTATGGTTTACTTCATAGCGAACCATCACACTAACGGTTATGCGTCTTTTGATGTCAGTGCCACTATCAAAGCAATTCTCCCGATTGAAGGTGATAAGAATCTAAGAGTTGCACCTCTAGAGTGCTTCACGAATGAAAAGAGCTCGGTTCTTGGTTTCTATATCTTACGAAATGACCTTCGAATTCATGCCAATAAATTCGGTGTTGTAGTCAATCCTTCTATAACAGAATGCGCCAATCGACTCATTCAAAATCCACCAAAAAGTCGTCGTGAGGCCCTCACCCTTTTTGGTTACTTTTCGAGTAGACTTGGTGAACTTGGTCTCCATAGTTGCATCAAACTTGGGGATTCCGCTATTGTCCCAGTGCCTGATCATGGAGAAACGTCGAAAGGGTTTTACAATGAGATGGTGCAGAATTCTAGCAAGATCAAGTATCTCACACCTCGACAATGTTACTTGGGAAGTTCTTCGGAGTATAGCAACATTTTTGACTTTGTTGATTTTGGAACCGAGGCCAATGCCTTTCTTTTGAAATGTGGGTCTAAGAATGAGCCTACCAAGTTGGAACTTGCTGCTTTAGTTTGTCAGAACCTGCTCGTCTTCTTGGGATCATGCAGAGTCCTGAAAAGTACTTGAACCTTTTGAGGTCTCTTGCAGTTGATTTGCCCATGTTGAAGAAAGATAAGCCTCTTTTCAGGCAAATGAAGCTTTCTAAATTCCTTCTTGGATCTAAGGAAATCTTGGCTGCGAAGGAAAGACCAAAGTCAACCAGTCTCTTGGATGAGCAGGAATCTGAAGTGGAAGAACTAGAAGATGCCCCGCTCAAACAATGGCATTTGGAGCAAGCCAATAAGATTGTTGTTGTTGATGATTATAATAGCTACCGTCTCTTCAAAGAGAGTCTGATTTGTGCACCTCTGGAGGATAAATTGGAAGAATTCTATCTTGCACTCGGCTCTGCCAATCTTAGTGAAATTGTACAAGAAGATCTCCGCGTTGGTGAGGCGGTTCCGTACCAAGGAGATTCCGCCAAACTCCGGAAGCATATTCTCGAGAGATCAAAACTCTTCCTGCATGAATCACCTCGAGAGAATGTGAGGCGGGATAGTCGATGGCTGGAGAAGAATTTGACAGTATCAACTGTTAGCGGCATACAAGTCAGGCGGTCTTTGAGAGGTCATAATTTATCGAATACAGAGAAGAGAACTGCTGCTTGTGTCCAAGGCCGACATGAAGGGTTGAAACTCTTAGTTACTAATGCATACGATACATATCAAATCAGTCAGGCTATGTGCAAGCACTTGCTAGCTCGCCCGCAGCAACAGTCTCACCTGACATTTGAGTCCTTCCTTACTCTATCCTTGATGCAATTACGTTCTCGTGGTTATAATGTGGAAAGAATTCTTAGAGCCAAGGCAGCTGAAGCACGAATCGCAGAAGAGGAACGCAAGCGACAGCTTGCCATAGAGCAAGAACAGATCAAAGAGCAAGAAAATCAATGGCAACAAGACCGTAATCAACAGACAGCTGTGGCTTCGGTAGCTTCTCAGGAGGAAACCCGTCGTGACTCTCACGTTGCAATGCCAGGGGCATTTGGTTCTGATTCTCCATCACCACCCCAGGTCAAGAAAGAGAAAAATCGTGGATTGTTCGCAAATCTTACACGTCGATTGGGTCTCGATAACAGTGATGATGAATCACCAAGATCCCCTACCACACGGACACCATCATCCGAAGATGCGCCACCACCTTATAGTGAGACTGCGGGGCAGAAGCCACAGACAGAAAGTGTCACCTCTAACGGAGCCATCAAACAAAATCTTCTTAATGCCATTCAAGCATCTCGAGCCCACGACTCCTCTGATCTATTCTCGCCTCCCTCTGCAAATCGAGTCAAGGAACAAGCCGAATATTGTGATTCTGCTTCTGGCCAAAACCTCACATACTTTGCCGATACTTCCAATGGCACACGCGTCTTCACATCCAACGACAGGGTCAATCCTAACGGCCCCAAGTTAACGGATTTCTTAGCTGGCAATGTCTCTTCCCTCAACGTCTTCGCAACTTTACTTCATGAAGCCGCGGATATATATAACTTGCCCAGAAAAGCTATCCATATCTTTTATGATGACCATGGGAATACGATTGCTTTTAATAGTAATGGCAGTATATTTTGTAATTTTAGATTCTTTGAACAATTACATCGCAAGAAGCTGGAATCGAAGGGTGGAGAGGAAAAGGTTGAAGCGGGAGCTTATTGGTGGGTAGTGCTTGCGCATGAGTTGGCACATAATTTAGTTAGTGCGCATAATTCGGATCATAGTTTCTATACGTAAGTATCCCTATTTTTTATCCTTAGTTTCTTGCTGGGAAGTACTCGTCTGGGGGCGAAATGAAGAGGAAGAAAGGAGAGGAATGTATCAAAATAAATGAATGCTAACAACATATTAAATAGCGAACAACTTATCGCGAACTACTTTCCAAAAATGATGGCGAGAGCAACCAAATACACTGCAGTACCGCCAACACCAAGAGAGGCTACTGAACAACGAAGTTCGAGTTCTAATTAATCCTAGACTTAACTTTACACACGATAAACGATTGATGTTGAGGAAAGGAGTTTTACTTTTAACATATTTTATCATTCTTAGGTGTACATGGTATGGTGTTGGTAGTCTAGAAGATGTAGATATGTTTCATGATGCAGAAGGTCTTACATAGATATGGCGTTTTTATAGATTAGATTGATGAGAGGGGTATACATACATACATGGGATATTAATATTTTGGTTTGCTTTGGTTGGGTTGGATTGGATTAAGTTGTGTTGAGTTTTCGTTCTGATGGGGAAGAAAGGGTAGGATAGGATAGAATATTATGCGATTGTAGGTAGATGGATAGATACGTGAATTTTTACTTATGGGTGTTATTTTCGTGTTGATGTTATTGAGTGGGTTGTAGGGTGTGAGTGAATTGAAGTGACCTAACTAACTACATTTCGCCAATTAACTAGACTAGCTAGGTAGCCAACCAATACAAAATTCTATTGTTGCATACCTAGGTATCTATTACAGGGTATTAAGCCTAGGGAATTGAGATAGATGTGTATAACTCAATACTGGTTATTATACCTACCATACTAGAATCAAAACTACAGGATTAGTATATACACCGTAAAGTCATTGAGAAATTAGATTGAAGATTGAACATGCTTGTGAGGGGTAGGTTAAGTTCCAAAACTTTTAAGCAAAAGCAATATCTTAGGCTACGGCTGCACAATGAGTGGCCCACAGTGCAGGTACTAGCTCTAATAGGTAATCCGCAGGACGGATACCCGCGGATACTTACGGGTTCCGGGTAATCTAGAAGGTGACTACTAATTGCTCACAAAGAGAGAAAGAGAGAGATATATATGTAAAGCTTTAATTTAGCGGATAATGTATGTACAAAGTAAACTTTATATGTACAACCCCCTCAAACGAACGGGTCTTTCTTAATTTCCTAGCATCATCCTCCACCAGCAAACAAGAACAGAACATAAAGAGCGTTTCGTTCGCATTGATTCATTTCTTCGTTCATTCATCCATCCATTCACCAATTTATCAACCCATCCATCCATCCATCGATCCACAATGATTTCTCCATCCATACACACCACACCTTCGAATCCCTCCAACAAAACACTTAACCAAAAGTAGAGTTAATAGCACCCACCTTAATATTGCTATAAACGACATAAGCATTTGGGGAGCTCGCCTCCACGGAAGCAGGAACACCACTACTAGTAGAGCAAGTACCTCTGGGGCCACCAGCACCAGTCTTGGTAGTAGGATAGGTAGAGTCTAGCCAGAGCATATTGGCATAGTAATCATCCCAGAGCGACAAGACGAGCACCATACCGGCTTCGAAAGCAGCGGACATGGAGGCCAATCCGCCGTGGTCGGAGAAGGAGGTTGGGTCGCCAAAGGCAGTCTTTTGGGCGGTGCAGAAGGGGGTCGTGATGGAGTTTCCGGTGACGCCGGAGATGGTTGATTCCGAGTTGGGGATGACTTTGCCGTTTTGGACGTAGAAACGTTTGATTTCGTTGAGGGTACCGGAGGAAGTGCCATCGGTGGTGAGGAACTGGTTATTATGTTAGTTTAAAACCTTGTAAAGTGAAATTGAAATGAAGATAGTAAATTAACTATTCCTAGAAAAAAGCTCACCTGAGTAACAATGGTGAAAACGGAGTTGGTGTCAACGGTCTTTCCTGGACCGTAGAAGCTCTCGTTACCCTGGCGGTAGGGGTTGAAATCACATCCATCTGGATCACAAGTACCAGCATATCTTGTGGTCGAGTAGGTGCCACCACAGTTGTCTCCGGTGCAGACAGTTTGTGTCACGGTATCACAAGAGTGAGGAGTAACAGCAGTGGAGATTGAGTTTGCTTCCCAGATATCCATCTCAGCACAGCATGAGCCGTAGTTACCAACACCAGTGTTGGGGTTGTTGGATGAGGGTACCCAACCATCAACGTTTGCCTAGGCGATTCGTTAGATTACCATCAACTCGTTTGGAATGTGTACCTGAACTTACCTTTCCATTGATGAATTTTCCATCACGAGGACATTGTGAATCACAATATCCTGTACCGTACTGGGCACCGGCCTTGTTGGTGGAGGAAATGCCGCCATCAGCTGGGAGGTTAGCGAAGTAAACAGCACCGTTTAATCCGCAAGGAAGATTGGAGACATCAACATCGAATGTGAACTCTTGGTTCAAAAGATTGAATGTCTTGTAGTGAGTGTTGTCGGCCAAGAGGTAAACACGAGATCCGACATTCTTGTTCGCTGTTTGAGTGACGAAATTGAGTCTCAAAGAATCACCGCTGGTTGTGATACCGTAGGTTCCAGAATAGTCTGCACCATCAAGTGCACAGTTCTGTGCACAGGTGGCATCATCTGGGCACAGTGTTGCATCCCAAGTGTTTCCTGTGTAGCAGTTTGTCGAAGAGGTCGTACTATGAGTCCATCTCCAGTTTCCATCGAGAACGATACTTCCGCTTTGTGTAGTACATGAACCTTTAGCGGTACAAGATTGCCAAGTAAGAGAAGGATGAGTCTCTGTGGTGTAGGTACCGATCTGTTGGCCATAAGCGGCCGCGAAAAGTGACGCGAGGGCGATTTTGGACGTCATATTGAAGCCTTGCTCAGTTCTTGTATTCAAGCAAATTGTAGTTGAACTGAAGAGAACTTGAAGGAAGAGACGGCCTTCACTTTATACTTCTTTCGCGTTCCCTCCATACTGCGCAAAGTGTCCCTCCTACATGGTCCACTTTCTCAAAGTACCTATCAACCCTCTCACCCCGTAGACGACCGGCTCGAAAATCCGCTGGATTAACGGTATCTTGAACCTAATACCAGCAACACGATCGGACAAGCGGACCGTAAAAACGAGACAACGTTGAAAAGCCACGATGAGATACATAGAAGCTCGTGCTGACCTGGTGGAGAAGTTTGAAAAATAAGCTTTATTTTTCATTCCGGGGCCCCACACATGTCAGAACATGTCATAGCAAACTTCTTAGCCACTCACTACCGACGGGGGCTGCCAAGAACTTTAATTAAAAACACGCAATACCTCATCTCAGGAACATCCTACACAAAATAGCGATACACAGAAATTTCTCCGCGTTCCCCCCTTTGTGTGAACATGCTAGTGGCCAGTAGTCGTCACTGAACTATTTAGCCGAGAAATTAAAGTTTTGTTTTGGCATCAAAGTTCGCTTTTTCGTGCTATTACACTTTACTGTGTATTTGTTTGAAACAACATGAAATAATCCTTCCGAAAGATTCATCTAATCTTCCCCTTATTTTGAAAGAGGTTCATGATCTTAGACAGCCATCGAAAACGGAGGTTACAGGAAAAACATTGCGTCTACTACCCAATTTGTATAGATTGAAAGACTTTCTAACAAAGCACAGGGGTTTGTATTTGCAGGTCCGGTGTTCACTTGTACCGACCGATAAATATCTACACCTCCCCATGTAACTTTTCTTCCAATGAGCAATCTATTTGAGGGCAGGGATTCCCCAGTTTTTACAATGTAACAGAACGTGGTCATCAGATCGCCAAGTATGTACAGAGTAAAGCTTCATTGGAGAAGGATAAATTATTCTTCAAGATTGAAGAGCTAACTCCTCCGGAAAGTGCGGTCTTTGCATCAGGGGCATTAAAAATACAGGTAGCATCAACAGTCGTCCAATGGACTGAAGTGAATGAACGGAAGATTCGGCAAAGTGGGTCTAGCAAAAAAGAAAATATTCAAGGGTGTGTTCGTTCCATAGCCATCTCAAGGCAACACAAGATGCTACTTTTATGTCAGAAATCATTGCGACGACGAGTAGAAACATTACATTACAGAAAATTGACCACTAAAGGCCTCTGCCATATTTTTCCAATAAGCCCCATACGTAGTCAGTTCATTCCACTTAGGCTGAGGTAGAAAGTTCTTCCGTTATCTGTTGTGTACCTCAAGATCAAGCTGCACTTTACTGAATTGTGGGGACATCTTGAGATCGTCACTGCACTCAATCTCTTACTCCTCAGTCATTTGCCATAGTGCAGAATTCCTAGTCAAGCTCGGAGAATGCCCTTCCGCGTTGTATTCTGCGAAATGTTGGCGCTATCCATGTAACCCATACTTTCTTCAGACTCAAGGCCTGATGTCTCATGGAGGCCACGAATCCCAACCCAATCAATGCACAATCCTTCCAAGCCCCCGTTTCTTCCTATACTCCAGCACCTTAGCAAACAGAGTAGACTTGATTGATTTCTCTAATACACAGCCCCGTTTTAGGTCCTGATGGCATGAGGAGTAACAATGCAAAAAGCTCTCAAACAATTGCAGAGGAAGAGCAAATCAAGGCCTAGCTCACCTGTCGACCCGAAGTTGATGATAGAAATCATAGATTCGAGATTCTGACCTGCTAAGCCAAGGCCTCGATGCATTGATTCTATCGCTGCTCATATCAGCCAGCGCCTCACTCGATCATCCACGGTCTCCTCAAACGGATGAGTAGTATGCCGAGCGCTTGGTAAAGATACGGGAAGTAGTCCTCGAGCCGGTCGAACGCCAAATATTACCTCCACCACTGCTCTAAAAGCTGATACAGTAGGCTCATCTATTGCGATGTAATTTTTTATAAAATCCCTATCTTCAAGGAAATCGTACGGATCACAAGTTACGATTGTGATGAACTTCTTGTTCGAAATAAGACACTTGCCTAGAAATTGTCCCATAGCCTTTTGATAGGGACTGAAGGTTGCATTTCTGGTCGCAAGAATTATCATATCAGCCTCCTCAAAATGAATCATGTCCTTGTGACCTGGATCCAATAAATATCCCTCGTTGAACTGTATGTCAATGATAGATTCACAGTAAGGCTTTAGAGTCTCAATATACGTGAGCAGTAGGGATCGGGCTGCTCTATCCTCACCACTGACAACAGCACCACCCCCTAGATGTGCCTCTGATGCGAACAACAATAAAACCTTAACGGAATTTCTTGGGATTGAAAGATATCCCGGCTCAGTTCGGACAACAGTTGTACTCTTGGCGTAAACTTCCGATGCAACTTTTGACGATTCTTCGTTAAGCATTTGAACATTTGAGTTAGAATCAGCCGTTGAAACATTCGTGGATAAATATTTAGTCTTTAGTCGTATAACTCGGTTTACTGAAGACTCAATCATCTCCTGAGAAATCTCACCAGATTTCACTGCAGCAATAACAGCTTCAATGGCACCGACTTGAGCTTTCATTGTGTGACACCATGACACAGTCAGTTCCTGCCTATATGCACAAGGTTTCAGCATTGACTTTTGTAAGAGTATCCGTGGTAATTACCTTTAATGCCATGACTGCTCCTTTCTCTGTCCCATAAGTCGCTCTAACTCCGTCCATTTCTAAACAATCACTTACTATCAAACCGTCATAGTTCATCTCCTGGCGCAAGATTCTTATTGCATCGGGGCTCAAGCTAGCTGGTAATTGATTGGTAGCTACGTTAGAGTTGCTGTTTAACTGAGGTAGAGATATATGAGCAGTCATAATAGCATCAACACCAGCTTTCACGGCGCGCCAGAATGGTACCAACTCACAGGCTTCTAATTCCTCTTTGGATTTAGTAATAACCGGAAGACCATGATGGGAGTCAACGGCCGTATCACCATGGCCAGGGAAATGTTTGACGCAGGACAGGATGCCATTTTGCTGTAAACCTTCCACTTGAGATGATACAAATCTTCCCACTGTCCCCGGATCATCTGAAAATGATCTTACTCCAATGACGAAATTCTTTGGTTCTGAGTTTACGTCTGCAACTGGGGCATAATTCATGTTGATGCCATATGCTTTCAATATTTTGGCTGTGCATACAGCAACACTGAAAGCATTTGACGGATCATTGGCCGCTCCCAGAGCCATCGAACCAGGAAGTTCTGTTGCAATAGGTGGATTGACACGAGTCACAAGTCCATTTTCTTGGTCAGTTGCAATGAAGAGACTCTGAGCATGTCCAGAATCTTCTGCAATTTCTTGTAATGAAGCAGCTAATTGGAAAAGTTGGGCTGCGTCTGCGATATTTCTCTGAAAAAGTATGATGGTTCCAACTCTGTGAACTGTGATGAGAGTCTTGATATCTTCGTTGGTAACATGGCCATGGAATCCAACAATAAAAGGCTGCATTGTCCTTAAAGTCAGTGTGATAAATCGATTGCGCCATCGCATTTCGAGGTTATGCCATCCCCCCGCCCGTCTGCGAATCCCATGCATGACATAGGGAAGATTGGAGACTCGAGAGATGCAGCGAAGATACCATGGATCACTATGAAATACAAAAATGATTCAAACAGTTCAAGACATACCTGCCCAACTTTATCCCTCAGTTCTTCATCAGACCAATAATTGGTTGCTGCTTGCCTGCAGTCAGATACCATCGCCACTCTTTGTGTTTGGTGCATCTTTATGATGAGAGAAGCTTCCTGGGGGGTTCAAATATGAAATCCTTCCATTATGATTTTGCATTTGGCAGCCCACCAAATGAATCAATGCCTGCCCAAACAGGAAATTCAAAGAGCGCGTGCGGGAGGAAGTTGGAATCAGGACAGAGATAAGAGTTGAAAGTTAATCACGTGATGTGATTCCGACCGGAGTTCCCCAATCCCAGCTCGATCTTGGCTCTTCTATCCCGCGGTGCAGTCTGAAGATAATTACATCAACACTTTTTTTTCCTCAAGCCGTCTTTGATCTCAAAGTCTTCCTTTGGCTAATAGGGTGTTTAACAATATTGCAATGGAGCTACTTCGGGTGCAACGTGATAATGTTCTCTTGCCTGAAGAGTGAAACACGACAAGTCCATTTGTACGACGAGAAGCTAATTCTTATAGACATGAAGAGATTTCCTTATCAAAATGTCTTCCTCTGTTCGAATACTGGTTTTAGGAAGATTTATCACGCAAAAAGAGAATAAGTATGAGTTCTCTTGAGATCAGTCGAAATGGCAGCCACAATATAAGAGCAAACGGAGATGAAACTAAGCTCGATGATACGAAAACCGATCGCATCAAGGATAGTCTAGATAAATATGAAAAGCTATTCGGTATCGACGAAGAATCCTCTAATCAGCCTACAACGACTAGGAGAGAGCTATGGTCATACTACCTTTATTACAACGTGAGCGCCATCCCATCACCCTTATAGTGTGTCCTAACCGTCAATCTCTAGGGAAATAATGGAGTAGGACCTGCAAATTATTCTCAGACTCTTTTTCAATCCGCGCTTAATAATGCTGGGTGGGATCCCGCGATTACACCTATTAAGATAGGAAACTGTGCCACAGGAGGTTGTGTAATCCCATGGGGTTACGGTACTCGATCTGTTTCCAGTGTAGTTCTACTTGCAAATGGGATTTGCTTCACCATCATGACATTAATTTTTGTGGTCTTCGGTTCCGTTGCAGATTATTCGAATTTTGGGAGATGGATACTTTTGTTTCTTACGGTCGTGGTATGTGGCGAATTCCTGGCGTGAAGTTTACACTGACGGATATAGGGTTGGGTTTTCCAATACGGAATGATAGCTATCAGAAAGCCTGATCAGTGGCCTACAGCTATGGTATTATATATCATATCTTACATTTCATACGGTGTTAGTATCTTCATTGCTTCACTTACATTCTGGCATTAACCTGATGGTAAATAGACAACATTGGTATTCTACTATTCATTATTTCCCAGGTTAGCCCGCTACATGCCTCACGTTCGAAAAGCTCGAGAGGAAGACCTCAAAGATAATAAGATCAATCAAGATGAATATGATAAAATAGAAAGCATGGAAAGAAACCATATTAGCAATATCTCTACTGTTCATGCCAGTATTGGATATGTTCTTGTGCTAGCACTTAGTCTTTCTGTCCTGATTCCATTGCGAGGGGATCTCTTTGCCAACAATCTTGCTTTGTGCCTCACAAACTCATGTAAGCAACTATAAGCAAACATGCTATCATGCTCTCGCTGAACATCTGCAGATTGGGTTGTCCTCGGCCTTCCCTGGTTTATTTTCCAACAATCACGCACTGGGCCACTCATCCCAGAAGGCAGTTCTTTTTGGACTATCGGCTTGAAACAAGTCTACCACTCTATTCGTGAAATTCGCCACCTCCCTCGAACTTTTACTTATCTTCTCGCATCTTTCATGCTTGCCGATGGCTTTAATACAACTATTACGCTCATCTTCATTATCCAAAACGAAGTCATCTCTTTCTCCTTTCTTCAATTAAGCTACCTTGGACTATCACAAGCTGCAACCTCCACGGTCTCTACTTTCGCATTTTGGTACATTCAACAGTATTTTGGCATTCGGACTAAGTCTATGTTCATCGTAACCAATGTCTTTAGCGTTTTAATTCCGCTCTATGGTGTGATCGGATTATGGTCCGACAAGGTAGGCTATCACCGTGTTTATGATTTTTGGATCTACAATATTGTTTTTGGATTATTTCAAGCACCATATTATGCCTACTCACAAACTATGATGAGCGAGGTTACCCCTAGAGGATATGAGGGAATGTTCTTTGGATTATTTGGGATTACCAATCGAGCTGTATGTTATTGTTCGCTTCTTTCCCTACATTTCGTGAATTTGAACTGATCAATAGCTACATCAGTCATCAATTATTGGCCCATATGTCATCCAAGCCATTATCAATAACACCAATAATAATTGGATGGGATTTCCGTTCCTATTCGCACTGTGTACTTTTGCGAGTATACTCATTTGGTTTGTGGATGTTGAGAAAGGAAGAGAGGATTGTAGAAGATATGTCAAAGAACGAAAAGCTGTTCATGAAGTTAGTAGTATATGTCACAGATATATCACCTCGCTGTTTTAGATTGTTTTCTAACTCTTTCACCATAGAGACAAGCTATTACTAGCACAATTCCCCTAGAAGTACAAACGCAGAATGGCCCTTAGGTGTTCATTTCCTTCCCTCGATCAGGATTGACTCCCTTTTACTCGTAATCTACTCCAGAGTGACATTCAGCCTTCGAAAATGGCCCAAACTCAAAACGTCCGAGACCATGAATCCCAAATCGACCACTCCTCCAACCTCGCATCAGTATTGCTCCACGCCAGTCATTTCACTCTTCAGGAATAATCCAGCACTGTCATTTTCAGCATTCATGCTTGAATGATATGTCGGCATCGGTAAGAATTTCTGTATATAGATGCTTAAATATGTTTGCAAATATACACAGACAATATAACATCGGCGATTTCACTTGTATCTGTATAATCTGCCGATGTGAAATTGATGCGAGAAAAGTGGTAATATACTAGTTGATATTAACACCACTAGCCCTAGAAACAAATAACCTTAATACATCCTTCGAGATCAATCATTAATAATCAATATCAAAATACCATAAAAAAATAAATATCCCATACGCACCATCTAGTCTCCACTTCCCGAAAACTCAACATCAATATCAGACCAAAAACCTTCCGATAAATCGATAATCACATGATGCAATCCACTTGCTTCCCCGACAAGTCCCGCTGTTCCATCCTATCCTCCCTTGATCTTTTCTGAATCCAATCCCACACTTCCTTTCGTCCGAAGATACCTCCCTCTTCCTTCTCCCCCTACCATTCCATCCCTCCCCATACAAAAAAAAAAACACCAACCATCACAATTTCACCGAACCCGAGAAATACAAAAACAAGCATCTCGGTACTCACGACTCACGAGTCAACCACCCACGCACAGTCCCTCAAACCAACCACCAAACCAAACCCTGGAGAAATCTCGGCATGTAGACATATCTGCCGCACTCCGCATTCCGACCGTACAGTACCTACTCAAGTTCAAGCTCAAGCACAAGCACATCGAACTTGATCCGATGATTAGCGAGATGATTTCACAATATTTTCTTAGAGAATTTTTATTTTTTAGTGTAAGATGATCTTATTGTGTTCTAGATTCTAGAATTTTTAGATTTTGCGGCTCGGAAATTTCTTGGGGATGGATGGGGGTGGGAGATTTGAGTTTCGGGGTTGGTTTTACCTGATGTGTTGTATGGATGATAGGGGATAGATGATAGACGATTATTTATATATATCAATTTTCTCTTTACGTTCTTTTCTATTTTCGTAGTGTATATCTTGTAGTCGACATCTTTAGTACAAATTAAGTCGGAATATTCATTCAGTTATAAGTCTATTCTCATCACACCATACCTCATCACGCCACGCCACGCCTTACTTCACCTCACCTCACCTCACCACATCATACTACACCTCACTCCAGTCCATTCCATTCCCAAAATCCCAAACGGACACTAAAATCAATCAACACCCCCTCTAATACCCACCTCCATTTCAATCCCATCTCCATCTCCACCCCCAACCAACCACCAAAACCATGTCCCGAACCCTCCAAACCTTCTGGCAAAACCTCAAAAAGCCATTCTCCTCCATCCACTTCCCCAAATTCATCATAACCTACCCAGAGAGCGCGCAAACGGGAAACGGCCCCGCTGATTTCTTTTCCACGCCCACTAGAACCGAGAGTCAGACGAGGGAGTGGGAACGAAGGATGATTAGACGATAGAGTTTATTATGTGAAGAGGGAGGAAGGAAGGAGATGAGGGGATGGGGGGATGAGGTTTGGAGAGATGAGGTATATGGAGTTCAAATCCTGTGGAAAGGAAGACAAAAGACCGGGGAAGAAAACGAAAAGTTGAGGAAGTTATGGGAATGTACTAGGAACGGAAAAGAATACGAAGCAAAGATTGGAGTTTATCAACTAGGGAGACAAGGAAAATGTGGTATGGGGGCTAGGGAGAGGCGTTTGAATTGAGGATACCAGATGTGTTTAATATATTGCTGGATTTAGGTTATACGGAGTCCATAGGAATTGATTTTGAGAAGTGGAATTGAGAAGATGGAAAAGGAAATAGGAAAAAAGGGAAGAGCACGACATACCACAGCAGGCTAATCAGGCGTATTGGAAAATTTAAAATACCACTCCTTTTCTGCTTATTAAAGTATTAATATCTGTACTCGAATAGTATCCATTTAATCATTTAATAATATTTCCAATAATCAACACCCAAAACAAAATCTACACACATTTTGTATATATATACATTTTTCAAACAAGAAACTCCCCTTCCCCCCCCCCCCTCCCCGGGGGGCCAAGCACTTCATGAACTTCTCTACTTCATTGATAATTAGAGATAGTTTCACTCTACCACTCTTTCACCCACCACCTAACCATCTATACCATTCACACCTCAAAAACCAAAAAAACAAACAAAATCAATGCTATAAAACCCTTCAAAACCCAAGTTTAACTTAAACTCTACATTTGGATAGACGAGATCGATCATATCAGTGCATTGAGTCACACACATGAAAAAGCATCCACAAAAAGTATGCATAAAAAAAAAAAGAGAATTTCATAATAATCAAGTATTCATCTCAATAAGAATTGCAAGATTACCATTAATCCTCTTCTATTTCCTTTTCCTCATCTATAGATATAGATACAGAAACAGAAATGAAGAGTACTGCACTTGTATAGCAACATGTGGAACTACCACTTGAATTAACTGTCGAGGTTCGATACCCTTTTCATCTGTTTGTATTCACCATTATACACACCATTGCTCGTATGTCGAATCACAGCAATCACCTATACAGAATCATTCTTCCTCAAAGATATTTCAATATTTGATTCATTGCATTCCTCTTCAGAGATTTGCGGATAACGCACTTCTTTTCTCTAGCTCACAACTCACAACTCACAACTCGCAACCTATAGCCTATAGCCTATAGCCCAAGCTCATATCCCACATCTCATAAATCCCAGAAGACACCAAATAGCCAGTCAGCATCCGGTAAAATTATATTCTCATCTTAATCTTCCCAAAGCCATTCTGGCAAACTCCATTCGCCACAATGCATTCGAGTAACCTTCCATTCCTTTCCTTACTAATCAAGCCAATAATTTAATATCCCTCCTATCCATCCCAGCCAGGAGTAGATCAAAACAAATTAATTCAGACTGTGCCATAATAGCTCCGAAACGCCCATCTCGTCACATCCTAGCCTTGTTCACGAAATGAAAAGAAATATCGTACAGCCAGTTAGGCCGTCAGGTAGCACAAATTCGAAAAGAAAACATGGATGCCAATAAGATATCAAATAGGCACATCATGTTCCCTAGCTATCCCACTTTTGCAATTAACGATTTTGGAAGCTCGGCCTAAAAGCAGGAGCTGCCCCATTGAGACCAGAAGATCCAGAAGTAAATTGTTTTTTTGGTGGAGGTCTTGCAGGTGATTCTTCTTCGTCATCACTACTACATAAATCAATAACTTCCGAAATCTGTCTCTTAGCACCTGTTGATGATGTCAATGGATTAGGTCGACTAGATGGTGCTGCTGATAAGGAGTCGCGAGCACTCTGTGCTTGAATCCCAATACTATTTGAGGTGCCAGTACCAGTTCTGGTAATTGGTGTACTCGCTTTTCTTCCCCCAGGGGAGAGTTCGATCAAGTCGTCATCGTCATCATCGGAGAAATCGCTTGAGGCTACACCTGGCCGTGATGATATGGTGTCTGGCCTGTTGTAGAGTTTCCACTGTCCCTCTGGTTCTACTGTGACTTGATCCACAGATTTTGATGTACTTTGTAATATGTTCTTTACATACCTTGAAATATGTCAGCAAATCTCATAATGCGTGCAGAAAGTCTTGTACTTACTCATCAACAACTAATGTCTCGAAAGGCGCAGAACTGTTGCATATTGGACATGACCAAGTCGGCCCTTGTTCTTGTAGCTGAAGATAAGAGGTCGCATCGAAACATTGGTTATGCCTGCACGATATTGATCGGCAAGGTAAATCAATTCGTAATGTCGATAATGGGCACTTCAATGATAGAACCGAAGCAGTGGTTACGATATCGGCATCTCTTGATTTATGAATCACTTACAAAAATTAGGGCAGGGTCATGGAATATTGAGAGGATGATATCTTACTGTCATTGACGACTGATTCCTTGGTAATCTTTTTGCCAACCTCCAATATCTTAACCAATTCTTTGACGGGAACCAGCCTGACCACATATATAGCCAGATAGAATTTCTATAAACAAGGTTAGCATTGCAACTTTACGGTACTAAAGTCAACAGCACATTGTAAATCCTATAGAAATACATGGTAGGATCGTGCATGGTGGATATTAACCTCAGACGCGACGAAAGCTCCGTTGAGACCTGCCTTTGTAGTCAACGCATAGGTCATCTCGACAGTGTTTTGATATCCAGGAACTTTTAACCTTAGTTCCTTAGTAATATCCACGGGTCGAGTTGATCCAGGTTTGTTTTTCAATCCTCGAAGGTTTGCCTTAATCTCTCCTGTGTTCACTTTGATCTCAGATTGATGAGGAAAAGCAATATCCTGTCTTCCATTACCTTCGCCCGCACAGAATACCATTACTTTTAACGTTGGGTCGTTCATGACTCTAGACAATATAGGATGGCTTTGGACCTTGACGGGTATGTTCACGGTGTGACGATGTTGGTTCATGGCTATTTGATAATGATCAGCATAACATTCGAAAACTCCCGACCGAATACCAACCATCACAAGTTTTTATCTCTCCAATCTGCTCCATGATATCGTAGAATGGACTTGGTTTGAACTCGAGCTCTATGAATAATTAGATCAGGCGCATAACCCTATCACCACGGTCTCACGTACTCATTCCATAACCCATCGGCCTGTTGTATGACGGCATGCTTGCTCTAGGTGTGGGATAATTCGTTGCGCCGTTATTGGGTATTGAATTTGCTGCTGGTGAAGCTGAGTTTTGATATGAACGTGGTGGGTTAACTCCAGCTGTGACTGTCTCGGGATTATCTATGATTCGTCTTAAGCGATTGAATTTGGGCTCATCCTGCGCATTCGCGTAGAATCTGATTCCTTTATAGAAAGAGAAAGATTAGCTTCGATCTCAAGTATGGCAATCTATCGCATTATGGAAGCGCAGGTAGACTGTAGCATGAGGCTGCGCGAATTCGCGATCGACTTCTTAAAGATGCAAGCAACCTACTATCGACAATTCTTGACTGCAACTCTGCCTTCACACCTTGTGTTCTCATATCCTCAGCGGAACATATACTCTTCAATGTCGAGTTGAGCATGCCACCATTTTTCACCTTCCGTACATATGGCTCTGGATCAAGGAAACCACCGCCCCCCATCGAGGCCATTTCCTATCGGTGGATGAGGAACAAGCTAAATCAATCAGCTTGAACTTTGGAAACTTCCTAGAAATAGTGAAGGGACGAAAGTTGTAAAGAGTAATAAGAGCAGGTATTCCTTACGATATTGACGGGAGAAACAGATGGCCTTTGTTTTTTTCTCTTTTCAATATTATTTGCTTTTTGGCTTTCTTGTAGGTTGAATGTGAATTTGTTCTACCTCCGACTCGTAATGAATGCTCGTGAAATCAAAATAGGCAGGCGGTGAATTTTGGTCGAATTATTTTTAATTGGGTTTTCTGTGGTTTGCCGCTAAGATAAAAGATTGAATAGATGGAAATATATTAAAATCTATTTCATTGCGCAGTAAAAAGAAGTTCACATCAATTTTCTACAAGCTTTTATATTCTATCGTACCATACCGTATTCTGGAATATCCTACGACCTATTTCTTGGTCATACATACATACTTCATTCCTTCATTCCAATTCCAACAATGGCTAAGGGTGCGCGCTCAAGTTCCACCAAGGCAAATAATTCCGCCTTGAAAGCCAAAGTATTTGGCCCCGTCGAAAATGCAAGAGCTGAGAGATTGAATGCAAAACTCATGGAATTGATCTCTCAACCAAAGCCATCAGCGAAGACCGAAGATGTTGATATGGAAGGGAAGGAAGCAAAGGACGTAGAGGGTATGGAATGGGATTATTCTTTTAAGGGAATTGTTCTCTAATAATCTATTCAGCATCTGCAAAAGATACGACGAACGATGTCGCAGCAGCTCAAGAAAAGCCATCCGAAAGTAACTAAAACTTCATCTCCAGCGCCTACTCGATTCTTTCTTTAACTAACATATGAAACTACAGAGATGGAGGTAGATGCTATTAGCAAGGTCGGCTCAAAGTCAAAGAACCGTATTTCGAAGAGAAAAGTTAGCAGTCGCAAATCGCAAATGACCTTCACTACATACAAGAATGGAAAGAAAGTAGGAGGAGGTAGAAAGCAAAAGATCTATTAAGGACCTCGGGAGGATGGGATGTTGCAGATCGAAATAGATGGTAATTTATAGGCGCATCGGACAATCTGGTTTTGGGGGAATGGAGTTCATGGTGAGGGTTAGATTAAATCCTCTGACATATAAAAATGAGGAGTAGTTTAAAGGACTTCGAGATTTCAGAGAATATATCAAGAATTCTACAGCTGCAGGCTTTCCGCCAACCTCGAATTGGAAAAGACCTCGGACCTTTCCTCTCAAATATGCATTGCACAAAAATATCCCATTCATCCATGTCACTGACCGATAAGGATTTCTTATCAGCATGCCAAACGCGTTCGCAAACCTGACACCTAGCTTCTCTCAATCCCAACTTCCTGAAAGATTCTTTGGACTACTATACAAATGGCAGAGAATACTTCGGACTACAGGATTCTCTCTTTCTCGGGCTAACACAAAACTGATTCCACGCAAACGATCAATGGGTCAAGACTGAAAGGCGCAAAATGGTCTCCAGGACACGAAACTTTTTGCTCTTGGCAGCAAATATTCTCATCCCAATTGCTATATTGATATTTGCCAGTGGCTTCTTTCCTTATAAGCCATTTCTCTCTGGATTAGCACAGTATGAGTCTCTGGATTTTGGAGAACCTCCGGAGGCTCCATTTGATAAGGTCATCTTCATGGTTGTTGATGCGCTGAGGAGGTAGAGATGCCTTCAAGCAGAGCATGAATGAGATCAAAGCTAACCTCAACAGCGATTTTGTATTTTCAAATAGTTCTGGATTCAAATTTACTCAGGGGTCAATTGTATATCTGCCAGCTTGTTTACCCTCCACTAACTTTTTCTATAGTCTCATCTCCAATGGCGCTGCACTTCCATTTACAGCTCATGCGACTTCCCCTACCATTACCATGCCAAGAATAAAAGCTATAACAACTGGATCTATCCCTTCTTTTCTCGACGTAATTCTCAATTTTGCAGAATCAGATACATCTTCGTCTTTGGCGACTCAAGATACATGGCTAGCACAAATGAAAGCAAAAGGGGGAGGAAAGATGGTCATGTATGGAGATGACACTTGGTTGAAGCTATTTCCAGAAACTTTTGATAGAGTAGATGGAACTTCAAGCTTTTTTGTTTCGGTCAGTCGTCGAGTGGTTGAGACTGTACATAGAATGAATGTAGCTGAATACCAATTTCTAATAGGATTTTACTGAAGTGGATAATAACGTGACGAGACATGTTCCGGAAGAGTTGATGAATGATGATTGGAATACTATGGTTCTTCATTATCTGGGACTTGATCATATCGGACATAAAGCAGGTCCACGAAGGTTGGAATCATTTATTGAGAGATAACTATACAGGATACTAATTCCTTCTTTAGCCCGAATATGATTCCTAAACAACAAGAGATGGATGGGATTGTCCGGCTGATCTATGAAAACATGGAAGCGAAAGACTATCTAAGCTCGACTCTCTTAGTTCTATGTGGTGATCATGGTATGAATGATGCTGGTAATCATGGTGGTTCTGCTCCAGGAGAAACCTCCCCAGCTCTTGTCTTCATGTCGCCAAGATTTAAGGGGCTTAGCCAGCATTTTGAAGTACCTGCTCCATTTGAAGAGGAATTCCAATATTACAAAACGGTTGAACAATCTGACATTGCTCCTACACTTGGAGCTCTACTTGGATTTCCTGTACCTAGAAATAACTTGGGAGCTTTCATTGATGACTTCTTACCATTTTGGCCTGAAAGTATGATATCCCAATATTCAATTGAACTTCATCACTAAATTCTACTAGGAAATGACCGTGTTCAAATCTTACTGCGAAATGCAAGACAAATTGTCAGCGTAGTCACTGCAACATTTCCATCATTTGAAAACGACGGTCCTTCCGACAATTGTCATGAACTATCAAGTAGTGTTGATGACTTGGCATGTCAATGGAGAAGGATTACTCAAGTTCTAACTGATCTCAAGTCTAACGAGAAAGATTATGATGCATGGGTTGCAGCCGTCACAAAAGTATGTTATCCTTCACACCCATGTTCAAAATCTAACAAAATTTTAGTGGTTGAAGGAGGCTCAAGACTTAATGAATGGTACTGCCAGCAATTATGATGTCAAGAAATTGGTTGGTGGCCAGATCATTGCAGCTTTGGCTTTTGTCATGGCAGCAGTGGCCGCGGGGCCATTTGTAGCAAACCATCTTAAGTCTTGCATTCCGTTCATAGCTATTTGCTTGACCTACGGCATCATGATGTTTGCTAGTAGTTATGTTGAAGAGGAACAGCATTTCTGGTATTGGACAACTACAGGATGGTTATTCCTCTTATCGATCAAGAAGTATGATTCTGTCCTAAATCTCAAGTCAAAACTAACAATCTCCTAGTATACGTCGTCAATCTCGCGAACTTTGGTTACTGGCCATTAGCTCTTTATTGATTCTGGTTGCTACTAGGATTGCTAGACGATGGAATCAAACCGGCCAGAAATTTGCCGGTGATTCAGATATTGCTCGAACATTCTTCTCCCAGCACCGATTAACACTCTGGACACTTGTAGGAGTTACCTATCTTTGGAATCTTCAATCACTTGCCAACAGAGGATTCTCCCGTCTGCCACAGATCGTCGCTGGTGCAATTTCTACACTTTTAGCCACTGCAGCAATCACATTCAAACTTGCCTTTACAAATGAAGATTCACCCGAACTTCTGGCAGGTCTAGCAAAAACTATGGCCGATGGTGATACTGGCATTCCACTCGTTCTCCGGGCAAGGTTGGTATTCATCGGCATTGCAACTTGTCTAGTATATACTATACTATCTAGTTTCGGTCCACCAACCAAACGTGCAAATGGTGAACTCTTCCCCAAGCCCCTTCTGAAAGTCTTTCATAACTAACAAAACACCAGTCCCCATGCGCACAATTCACGACCTTATTGTCCTCTTCCTAGTCACTCAAACACGAGCAACCAACATTCCGCTCATCCTAATCTTTGAACTTCAATTTTTCCTCTTATCAACCCTCAATCTCTCCCTCGTAGAAATAACCACTACAACCCTCCTCCTCCAACAAACCTCCTTCTTCGCCCTGGGAAACTCAAACGCAATTTCCTCCATCGATCTCTCCTCCGCCTACAACGGCGTCGATTCCTACAACGTATTTGCGGTGGGCATCTTAATTTTCGCCTCCAACTGGGCCGGTCCTCTCTACTTCATTTCAGCTAGTAGTCTCCTACTATTAAAACACTGGAACAAAGATAGAGTAATGAGAAAAATGTATGGGGAAATCATATATCTCTCTTAACGATATTTTTCGCGAGTAGTTTGACGGCAACGAT